GAAGCTGTATAGTCCATGTCTTTGCGTAATCACTGACATGTTTCCATTCACACCTGATTTGGCTCACAGTACCGGACGCTGATGACGCTGACTAACAGATTCGCACGTGTATTAACAAGCTAAAAGAAAGAGTAACAGGAAATGCCACAGAGTAGCGGGCAATCTCTCAGAGTAGCGGCATAAATAATGGAGTAGCGGCCCCGCTACGCTAAAACGCTTTGGGGAGAACACTGTTTACATTCCGTAGCCTAAAATGTAATTCCCTTTTTTTCCTTACTTCGTCGCAGTACTATGTTTGTTGGTGCTGACTTTGTATAATTGTCTTTTTGCAGTCTTGATGGTATTTGGGATCCAGAAAGATGGCATATGTATCTGTCTGGCAAGAGATCAAGGGGACCATCACCAAATCAATTAATAGAGAATGGTAAACGTCCTATTGATTCTGACAGAGAATTTTATCGTAGCAGAAGACCTTCAGGTAAGTTTGTAAGCCTTGTCTGAAGCAATGTCTCTTTCTTGATTTTCCCAGTAGATCTCCGATTTCCATGACTGTTGTGATCCAATTTGTCAGACAGTTGATGACCTTTGACCTAGAATGTTACCGTTTTAATAATTGGAATACTTGTACTAGTATCAGAATGAAAAGAGTTTTCAGCAGTTATTAAATTTTCAAATTGATTAAAGTTGTGATTATCAGCATAGAACTAACAAATGAGTTGCAGTTTCATCTATACTAAACTCATTGCCAAAACATGTAGCAATTTAAATGTATGACTCTCTGTACTAATGTAATAATCTTTGACAATCGCAGACGCGAAAGAGAGAATTAAAGAAGAAAGGGATGGGATCATACTCAGCCCACAAAGACGTAGTTTCGGCCATGGTTGCCAAGTTTCTGCGCAGATATTTCAGCGAAGAGGCTCTGGAAGTCCTCTAGAAAATAAAGACAGCGGAGACGGCCATGGAAGCAGCAACCTTGGCTCACAGAGGCGTATAGGAAGCGGAAGGCTAGCGAGCCGTACAAGATCTGTGGAGTATGAGAACAAAGACAGGCAAGGTCGAGATTATGAGCATGAGAAGGAAACAAGATTTGAAAGATATAGTTCTAATAGACGAATAACCCGAAGTGAAGGTACATGGGCTGTTTTCATTTAGTTGTTTGTTTTTAACCACTCTGCTATGCCTAGACTTTTGCTCCAGTATTTCTGCTATGTCTAGACTTTTGCTCCAGTATTTCTGCTACGCCTAGACTGTTTATTTTAGATTCTTTTAAAATTTGATTGTTTATATATTACTGTATAAAAAGTCATAATTTGAAATTTCTGATATGCCATTAATTAAAGATCAAACTGAACATGAACACAGGTGTTGAACATTTTATGGAAGTATTTTATCAAATTCCTTAAATGGAGTGAATCACTGAAATTCTGTTTTAGATTTAGACTGTTTCACTGTCATTATATGACTGAGAAGTTGAAAGAAAATTTAGTAGTAGGATTTTGTGATGCATGTATGACAAACTACTCGGTGTTGCTTCTTTGTTGACGTTTCATTTAATTTGCAGGACGTCGAATGAGACAAGAAGAGGAGCCAGAATGGTATTCAGCTGGACCTTCTAGCCAATCAGAAACCATTGAATTGCGTGGTTTTCATAAAGAAGACCTGAAGGATGTACGAGACTCTTCATATAAACGTAAGAATCCTGTTTAAAACTGACACATGGCTGTACTTCAGTGTATTCAATTTTGATCATTGGTAAAGTTACAAGTGTGGGCAAACCTGGCACTGTATGGTTACAATCTGATGTAGGTAGTAGCTGTGGTCAAATATGTACATTACTTTTTACTACATTTGACCAAGTAGCTATTCAAATCCCTTCCAGTTTTCAGTGTGGACCTGCAACCAATCAGAACTAAATCCAACTAGAAAGCAGTCATCAACGGCTAAGTAATCATATGAGTTGTGTATGCTTTTTCTGGAGTGGAATTTGTCACAGTAATGTTATCTATCCACTCTGCAGCACAGCTCTTCAGTAAAACAAATATTCTGTTGCTTTCATGGTCAGTGTATCATGCAACTCGAATTAAATAGTGAATATCCCCCTGTGCTTCATCCATCTCCCACCTGTATGTTGCTCATGTCTGGGGCCGATCACATTCAATATTCTCGCATACACTATGCATCTTGAGGTACATGTGCACATCCATTCATCAAATCAAGCATTTTTCATATCATATTTTTCAGATCATATTCAAAATACTCTAATGGCATTTTGTTTCAATGATGCTGTTTCTAGGGTTGTATCTCTGACATACCATGTTGAAACTTTATACATTTCATAAGGTAACTTGTGAGGAGTTTAATTGCTTGTTAGTCCCCGTTCGGACGAAGTCCAAAAACGGGGACTTATAATTCGGTCTCCGTCCATCCGTCCATCCGTGTGTCCGTGCGTCCGTCCGGAGTCGTATCTCAGAATCCCTTGGACCGATTCCGTTCATTCTTTGCATGTGCCTAGTACTTTATATGGGACATATGCACATGCAGTGGTTTAGCGATTCGATTCAAAATGGCTGACTGGCAGCCATCTTGTTTTTTGAAAATGTTGTATTTTGGACATGCTTTGTCAGATTTCATTCAAACTTGGTACATAGATTATACATGTTAGGATACATGTCCATGATGATTTATTTCACAATTGGAT